GCCACCTGGCAGTCCGTCGGCCCCGCCGCCCTCCCGCCGGCCGACGCCGCGTCGCTCGAGTTCCGCGACGTCGAGGCCTTCTCCGCCGACCGCGCCGTCGTCCTCTCCGTCGGCGAGGGCGGCAGCTCCCGCGTCTACGCCACGACCGACGCCGGCGGCGGCAACAGCAACAACGCCTGGCGCCTGGCCTTCACCAACGATGAGCCCCGCGCCTTCTTCAACTGCCTCGCCTTCGCGTCCGCCTCGCGCGGCTTCGCCGTCAGCGACCCCGTCGACGGCCGCCTGCGCCTGGTCGAGACGTCGGACGGCGGCGAGTCCTGGACCCTCGTCGACCACACCGCCGGCGGCATGCCCGAGACCTGGCCGGGCGAGGCCGGCTTCGCCGCCAGCGGCACCTGCCTGACCGCCTCTGCCGACGGGCGCGCCCTGTTCGCCGCCACGGGCGGCGTGGCCGGCCGGCCCGGCCGCGTCTTCCGCAACGGGGGCGACGACGACGGCGCCCGCCGCCGATGGGAGGCCTTCAACACCACCATCCCGGGCGCCGCGGGCGGGGGCGTCTTCTCGGTGCAGTTCCGGTCCGCCGACGGCGCCGGCGTCGCCGTGGGCGGCGACTACACCCGCCCCGGCGCGGCCGACGGCACCGCATCCTTCTCGACCGACGGCGGCCGCGTCTGGCAGGCCTCAGTCGTATTCCCCGGCGGCTACCGCTCCGCCGTCTCGTGGGTCCCCGGCCGCTGCGGCGTCGCCGTCGCCGTGGGGCCTACCGGCTCCGACGTCACGTACGACGGGGGCCGGACCTGGAAGACGTTTGACAACGGCTCCTTTGACGCTGTCCAGTGCGTGCCTGGCGGGGTCTGCTGGGCCTCTGGGCAGCAGGGACGTGCCGCTCGTCTGTTATTGTCATAACCGGCCTTGCCATTCCCAAGAAGATGCGGAAAAGATGAGATTGAACGCCCCGCGCTGCTGTGAAGCAGCCGACGCAATTAAATACAATACTGTCCAGTGCGCCCTAGATACGTAGGTGGTAGATACATATCTAGGTAGCAGCTCGGGTTTATGTACTTCCTCATTCATATATAGACAACGTGCCCAGGTATATCCCCGCCCATAAAAATCCATCACGTTAATCAAGGCGAGCAAACCAACCAACTCCCAGAATGCTCCATAAAATGGGCATGAGTATGCATGCGCTGCGCCAACCCGCTTAGAAAGAACCGCTCTCCCTTTTGTTTATGAAGAACCCAAACCCCATGCTAAAACCAGATTTTGGACATATTCGCACCGCGGACTAAGAAATGCAAACCAAACATGTGACACAATCCATGAAACTATCGTTGGTATCGCGGCAGAGGCTCGACAGGCGCCGTCGCCGCACGCGCCAGGGGCAGGCCATGATGATGGCCAGAGTGACTCGCGAATGCGCGCTCGTGGTAGGTGTATGATGAGCCGTAGTCCAACTCGTCGTCCTCCGCGAACATTGGCGCAGACGGCCCGAGCTCCAGTTCCAGCACCGGAGCCGTGGCGCTGATGGGCGGAGCCGATGGCCCCGCGTCATAGTCTTCTGGGAATTCCGGTGGTGCGCTTGCTTCGGCAAGCAGTCGCTGGCGTTCTCGTTCCAGCTTGTCTTCGCCCGAACCAGACGCCGCACCTGGCTCCAAGTCTTCCAGCGTCGGCGCGCTCGGCCCCGAAGGTACCGATACGTCTTGCCTGTGACTCTGGTCCTCGACATCGTACAGATCATCCTCCGCGGGCGCAGCGGCAGCAGCAGGCGCCGCTGAGGAGGAGGACTCCGCGGCAGATGGCTGGCTCGGTAGAAGTCTTTGCTCTGCGCGCCGTATCCGCTCCTTTTCCGAAAGTCCCGCCTCGACTGGCACATTCGGGGGCGGTATGTAGACAGGGGCTGGATGTGATTGCGCGTTCCGGGCCGTGTAGTGCGGACTCGGTGCGTATTCGTCGATGATTGGCGGTGCCATGCCATCGCCGTCCCGGTAATTAGAGTACCTCTCATCCTCCACCTCATCCTCCGCAGTCCTCCGCTTTTCGTCTGACCCGTAAACAACTGCCACCATCGGCTGGGGTGACAGCGATGGGGTCTCGTAGGCTTGTTCGCGCTCCAGCTTAGGTCGAAGCGAACCCCGAGGTCTTTGTCGACTAGAGTCCAACGTGCCGACAGGCACTTCGAAAACCACGGATATAACACCCTTCTGCCTCCGGAGCTGGTCCGTGTCGATGATACTGGCACCCCATTGCCCCATAGTCATGCTCGAGCCGTGTTCGTACGGATTCCTGACGGCAGCAACCGGGGCAGGCGCCCCAGACGGGCCGCCCTGGCCAGACTGGATCTGGCTGGCGAGCTTGCCACCCAGATCGACTATAACTTCCAATTGGTATTTGAAGCTGATGAGCTCCCCTGGAACCCCCTTGATTGTTGGAAACACGTCCTCGGGCACCCTGACCGAGATGGTGACGCTCGCCTCGAGGGACACCGGATCGATTATCAGGGGGCCAAATGCTTGCGACAGGTCTTTGCGGAAAACACTGCATGAGCCGGCTGACGACAGCGACAGCCCACTCAGTCCCGTCTTGGACCGCGGGAAGTACTCCTCCTTCTCGAGCCGACGGATCTCTTCCTTAGACAGGTCAGTGAAGAGAGATATTGGCGGTGCCGAGTCGATCCTGCCTTGTCTGTACAATGTCGCAATGACTCCGTGGACGCTCTTTATCCTCTTAATGTGGTGGACGCACACTTTGACGGGGATGAAGTCGCCAGGCAAGAAACCACCCTTGAGCATCTCGATGCTGGCAGTGATGGTCTTCTCGTCTGGCGTAGGGGTCCTCGCTCCTACCTGAGAGCCGGCCGACGAGGAACTCGTCACAGGGTCGCTGACTCTGTACCCGGCACCCGTACTGCCACTCATCATGGTTTCAGCGCTCACTTCGCTGGTCATATCCGGGATATCAACGCGGGTTGGACTTCGGGGAACAGAGCGCGATTCCTGCCCTGCAGCCTCATGGGCAGCCATCACAGATCCATCGGCGACGCTTTCCGGCCCCCTGGACGATTTCAAGTCTGACTGCGCGGCATCGTTCGTGTCTGAGACGGCGATAGACCCCCTGTCATGGCCCGGTGGTCTGTCGGGCCGTCTCCTCCTTGGCCCTTTCGATATCGGTTCGAGGGAGATGGTGCGCGGGCGCGGAAGCGGGAGAGTGCCAATATCGACCTGCTCGACAAGGCAGACTTTGCGCTCGCAAGTGATAGTAGGTGATATGGTGTTGGGTCGTGTCAATGTGGCCGTGATAAGATATGATATTGTGCCCCGCTCGAACTATACACCATCATGTTAATTCGAAGCCACGAATTGCCCACCCCGGAGGATCGAGGCTGAGCTTGGCAAATTTTATGCGAGGAAGAAAGGGGGCGTACATCTATGCTGCTTGGAAGACCCTTGGAAGGGAATACGAGATCAAAGTTAAATTCGTAGCGCCCCGCCTCGAGTTTGCCGTCGGCGCTGAGAACCTGCTCGTCCTGGAAAAGCGACGCGTGGCCATTTCCAAAATATCGTATCCGGCCGGTTATTCCCGACTCGACCAGGGCAGGATTAACGGGAGGGTCTTGAGAAGCGTTGGGACTCTTGAAAACCTTGACGAAGCCGTGGAGAGTGACAGTGAGGTGTGTGATGCGGATCGGCTTGAGGACCGTCAAGAAGACAGCACCAGTGACGTGGTCTCCTGCGGCGTACTTTCGGTGCGGCTCGGCGGGGCGGATGTAGAAATCGTTCAGGTGGCGTGTTCGTGAGCGGGAGAGCAGGGATATGCGGGAGAAGAAGGAGCGGCCAGAGGGCGTGTCTTCGAGCGACGGAGGACGGTGGCGTGATGCCGAGTTGGCGCCCATCTATGCTGCACTGGGCCCGGACGACGCCCCTGGGTTGCTGTGAGGTTGTCCCGGCGGGGGGCCGGTGAGTCTGGGCTTCGCTTGGCTGCAGGCCACAATGATGGACGGGGACGTCTTGGGAGACGAGGCGACCCGGGCGGGGCGGTGTCGGCGTCGAGGGCGTGTATGATGGCATGCGGCCGACCCGCCGATCGACGACGTGTCGGGGTCCGCGCGGGGAGGAGGCAGTGGCCAACAGCGGCAAGAGGGCGGAGTTGCGCGTGGAATGGGCAGCAAAATGCACCAAACATACAAGGCCTCGAGGCCGCGCGCCGGACAACAGGTATTACGGGATGCGCAGCGGCGACGTAGGAGGCAGAACGCGGAGACGGGTAAAGTGGTGTCGTGTCGTGTCGATGTCGTACAGGGTCAAGAGAGGAGAAAAAGAGAATAGGACAAACGAAAACTCGAGAAAATCAATATAGAATAAACAGCCACAAGAACTCCTGGCGCGTCATGGATCGAGTTAGGTCACGTAGGTCGAGGACACATCGGTGTGCTGATGGGGTAGTGCAGGCGCTTGAGGTGTACCGTCGTTGTTGCGTCGTCGTCGAGAATGACGACTCTGCAAGTGGCCAAGGAAGGCAGCGGCAGATGCCGATTAGCCGACGAGGGAGTGGCGTTGGATGCGGCGTGCTACTCGATCGCACAGTAGCGGAGGGAGAGCAGCGGTGGTGGCGGGATAGTGGCGACGGCGACAGGCGGGTGGGCGGGCGGGTGGTAGTGCGTCCTCGGCCGCGGGCAGACAGGCTGGCTGGCGGCCGTCGTCGTGTCGGCGCGGCAGAAGCGCAGGGCAGGCAGGTCGAGCGAGGTCGGGATCGGAATCTTCAGGCACAGCTCACGATGGGTATCTCAATCGCAGTGGAACAGCGCCGGAGCAGCAGACAAGGGCGAGTCGTGGCGAATGAATGGCTCGTGGCAGCATCGATGCACGCCAAGCCAAAATAGGAGGGCGACGAAGCTTGGCCTGCCAAGAGGTCTTGTTTTCGGGAACGGGGGGGACAGAGTGTTTGGAAATTATGGTGGAGGACTCTAGGAGGGGAGAGGGGACTGGGCTCGAAAAAGGGGGGCGGGGCCGGTTGGGGGAGATAAAACGCGGGCACGGTGGTTCGTAACAGCAGCAGGCGCAGCGGCTGCAGGGCCATCCATACCGCAGGCACAGGGCCTAAGCCATTTTGTGTACCGTGTACGTTAGTCCGTATGCGGCAATGTCGGCCCAGTGGCCTACACTGAACAAGCATGGGGTCCGCGATGCCCACGCGGCAGGCAGCATTGCCACGATCGCAGATGCAAGAGCATGGATCCGACGGATCCCAGGTGGGTTCCATCCATTCTGCAGACACTTTTGTTAGTGAGTGTGGTGAGTGGGTGGGAAGAGAAAGCAGCCTCTGCAGCGTCTGCCCACACTTCCCATCATGGCCTTCCCTGTTTCTGCACTGTATCAACCCTGGTACGCGTAATCCCCTAATCCTTTGGTTTTTTTTCTCTCTATTTCTCCCGCCACCAAAACTGCGCCATGCTGCGTAATATTGCATTTCCATGCTCCATGCTTGTCTAGCTGGGAAAGCAGACGCATCACGCTGTCCAGAACATGGGAAATGGCATTCTCCTGAGCGTCAGCCCATATTGGCGCTGCCATCACCAGCAGCAAGCCATCAAGGATCAAGGCAGACGGTGACCTTTCGTCTGTCCAAGGCCAATGGCGACGGGCGGTCACGAGAGTTTCGTTTCATCCCGAAAACTGCCTACAGGTTCCAGGGATCACAAACACTAGTGCGGTGGATCCTTCCTAATTAAGCTACGTACCCAGATACATTTTTCACCATAGAAAATCCCGCCAAATCGATGTATCGCTACCCGATCGAGCAGCTCTTATCCACAGCATATCACCCCCAGACTGACGGGGGCACAGAGCGCGAACCAAGAAGTACAACAGTATTTACGCTGCGCAGTTACCTTCGCACAGGAAGATTGGCCGGACCACCTCCCCGCCTGCCAGCTGGCGCTGAATAGCCGACCCTCCACGGTGACGGGGTTTGGCCCGAACAGATTGTTATCGGGGTTTGACGTCGACCCACTAACAGCACAACGCTAAGAATTGGTAGGTTCGCAGGCCGCGACCATTCGATGTGTGGGTTTGGGTTAAGCCTGACCAATCATTTTTAGCGGCCTTTGTTCTTGGAAATCCACATGGCCGAGGTCAAGCCAGTCTGGCCCGCCGCCCGTCCTCCTTATGGAGGCCAGAGGCGCCGACACTCCCGTCCTTGTGACGGTTGCCGGACTCTCTCCGAGTAAAGAGTGCGGCTGGGCGCGTTCAGTTGTTTTCCCACGGACATTTGAGCCCTCTAATCTGCCACTTATCAGCCGGCGGGTGGGGCTGCTTCCGAGCGCCGTCACGGCCACCACCTAGGAAAGCCGCGCGCTCCGGCTGTCGCGCCCGGTCGTCTCCAAGTTCCACGCGCCCGGGCTCCACCGACCCTCCGTCCATTTCCAACTTTCGCTGACCACTCTCGCGGCACTCCGTGCACTCCTTCTCAATCCAAGAGCAGTCGCTAGAGCGGCGGGACGAGAAAGCCTAATTTAGCCACTCTCTCTAGTTTTCGGCACCATCTGGCGCAGCAGGCCCCAATGGCACAACGGATGCTTGTCACCATACTGTGCGCCCGCCCGCCCAAGACTCCTGGGAGGTTGTGAGGTCCCCCTACCCTCCCAGACCGCTGGAGCTTCCCCAGATCCGCCTGCCTAGCAGAGGCGTGTTCGTTGTTGACATCACACTAGTAGGCGCAACGGGGTTACTTGTATGAGGGACCGGGCACACACGACGACTGCGCGCTGACCAATTGGCCGGGAATGGCCCCGCGTCTTGGTGTCGTCGAATATCGTAATAATGCCGAGATTAAGTTACCGCTCCCGGCAGGCTTCAGCTAGTAGGCTTCTTTTTCTCGCTACCGTAACGAGAGTCAGCAGGCTAGACGTGTATATAGTTTCATCTGGTAGTCGCTAGCACGTTTGATAACCCCAGGGAGGTGAGAGTGGGACAGCACTCGCTACAAGACGATAAATAAACCTAGTTTAGCCTAACATGACCTAGCCGCCCTCCAACGATTCCCCTTCAATATGGTCATCGTGAAAGTTGGAATTGCTGTGGAATCCGCCGGCTCCCGTCCGTGTTACAGTCTCCATGTTCCGCATCCCCCCAATCGTGGTGGGGGTCGTCCGGTTTTATTATCGCCTGTTGACGCCAACAAAGCCCAGGAACTCATTCCTAGTCTTCTCCTTCTTCTCGAAACAGCCTAGCACGCAGCTAGTGATAGTTGTCGCCGTCGACTTCTCCACGCCCCGCATCACCATACATAGATGACTCGATTCCATGACCACGGCTACACCCTGCGGTTGGAGCACTTCCATAATGGCGTTTGCAACCTCCTTGGTCAGTCTCTCCTGGATTTGCAGGCGCCGGCTGAACATTTCGGCGATTCGGGACAGCTTCGAAATGCCGATGACGGAGTGGTATGGGATGTAGCCGATGTGCATCTTCCCCGTGAACGGTACCATGTGGTGCTCGCACATGCTGAAAATCTCAATGTCCTTGACAACGACCATCTCGTTGTGCCCCTCGTGGAAGATGGCGTCGTTGACAACGTTTCGGACGTTCTGCTGATAGCCGTTCGTAAAGTACATGATTGCATTGGCGTATCGTTTCGGGGTATCGAGGAGGCCCGGTCGATCGGGGTTTTCGCCGACGCATTCGAGGATGGTCCGCACCGCACCGCGCATCTTGGCGAGTCGTTCTGCGCCTTGCTCGGGAGACTCTTCAAGTCTTGCCCGAGTTCCGATGCCTAAACAGGAACAATTTCAAGTCGCTGCCGTGGAGGAGCTGGAAAAGCACAAGTAAGACGTACTAGGCCGACTCAAACCATCAAAGTCTATCATCGGAGTCGGCGATCTCGTCTCCTTTCCATCCGATTTCAACACCTTTGTGGGCCTCGAGGATTCCGGCTCATCCCTCGGGTCTCTGGCAGCCTTGCCCATGCGATGTCGCCGCTTCGTTCGGTCGCTGGCGTCGTCCCTACGGGACTCGTCCTTCCTCCTTGTCGCTTCCCTGCCTAATTCCGCAACATCACCGTTCTGGGGCTTCCCATCACTGTTAATCGACGGAGTGGGCGACATTCTGGGTTCTTCGATCTTTCGGCCCAGGTCGGATGATATAATAACAATTAAGCCACTCCGGGGGAAGTTTAATTAAGTGTTAACAGCATCGGCTGGGGGAGCTCGTAGTTTGCTTCGTTGGAGAAGTCTCCGCTGCTGTACTGCACTGGCGACCAAGAAGCCGATCTTATTGCAATTTCCAGCCTCTGCGCATTGGCTTGCCTAAGTAGGCGGCTGCAGCTTACTGCCACCGCCATTAAAGACTCCTGCACCTTGGCAGTCTTGATACTCTGGTTGGTTCTGTAGGCATATCTATCAAAGTCGATACGGTAGCGTTGGGATGCCGGACGGCCCTTCTGACCGGCGCCTCTCGCATTGGGCGTTTCGGGTTTTCGTTCCCCTCACTGACGCGGCTGGCCCACCGGCCTCACTAACGCGGCAGGCCCACCGGCCTCACTAACGCGGCAGGCCCACCGGCCTCGTTAACGCGGCTGGCCCACCGGCACCGGCCCCACTAACGCGGCATGCACTTTCCGGTACGCCCGGCCAGTTAGTCCAGTGAACGGATTCGTCTCGTTGCAGCGGAGAGCCGGACCGACTAACGCTACATGGTAGAAATGCCCAATCCATGGACCCCACCAGGAAAGCTCACCCATCATTCTCCTGTTCTGGCGTACATATATGCTGGCCAAGGCTACCTGGCAATTGCAGCCGTAACTCTCACCCAGCTCCTCGATCACGCGTGGTCTGACCGCCTGGCTGTCCCACTGATACTAGCGCGAGATACACAACGTGCTGAAGGGACATGACCACTCTCGACTCTCTAAAGCGGGCCCTTGGGCAGAAAGCCGCGGCGACGGTGGCGTCCCCGAAGCAGTCGTTGTCTGATTCACAATACAGCGCTGGCTTCGATATCTTGACTCGGGGCTCGGGCTGGATGACGTACCGGGACTTCATTATTCCTCAACTATCTCAGCTGCTTGAGCCACTCTTCAACTCGCGCGCTCATGTCTCTGCTCTAGAAATCGGACCCGGCCCGAAGAGCATATTTGGATATCTGCCCGGCCATCTGAGACGGAAGTTCGGGAGATACGCTGCATTTGAGCCTAACGGCTTGTTTGCTACAAGATTGGAAGAATGGCTTCGCTCTACATCGGGGACGGAGTCCCCACTACCCTGTCTGGAAAGACCGCCCGACATCCATCGAAGCCCTTTCGTTCTGGACAGCAATACAGGAAGCGGTACCGGTACGGGCGCGAGCGACGAAGACGAAAAATTCGACATCATCCTGTTCTGCCACAGCATGTACGGCATGAAGCCCAAACGAAAGTTCATCGAACGGGCGCTGGACATGCTTATTGAGCGGCCAGAAGGCGGAATGGTGGTAGTTTTCCACCGCGAAGGGACTCTGGATCTCGACGGCTTGGTGTGCCACCGAACGGCTTCTTTCCCCACCGGGGCCGTTTGTGTGGCAAATGACGACGAGGTATTGGACTATTTTACCCCTTTCATCGCGGGGTTCGTCATGCAGGATATGGACGTCGACAAAACTCTCCGAGTTGAGTGGCGCGAGGTGTGCCGCGCCTTGGGTCGTCGTGAGGAAACCCATCCAGACCATCTCTTGTTCAGCTCGCCGAACGTCATGGCTACCTTTACCCAACATGCGACCAGGTTGCCGGAGCTGATAGTGCAGGTGCCATTGGGGAAGAGGGACAAGACGGTTAAAAACCGGCAGGCTCGCCTCCACCGTCCCGCTTCGATTATCAGGCCGACCGAGGTTCGACATGTCCAGCAGTGCGTTCGATGGGCTCTGAAGCACGGGGTCAACCTGACTGTCGTCGGTGGAGGCCACAGCGGCCACTGTCTCTGGCCCAATGTTGTCTCTATCGAAATGAGCGCCTTCGACCAGGTACACATTCTCGGGGAAGATGGAGGAGGGTCCGGTTCCAATTCCGGTCCCTTGGTCGTCGCCGAGGCCGGCTCCAAGACCGGGGATATCGTTCAAAAGACCATGGCGGCGGGCCTAACAGTGCCCCTGGGATCCCGCCCAAGTGTCGGCGCGGGGTTGTGGCTTCAGGGCGGCATTGGCCACCTGACTAGGTTGCACGGGCTCACGTGTGACGCCATCATCGGTGCCGTGATGGTCAGCGTCGACTCTGGCCGGGTCCTCTGCCTTGGCAGTGTACCAAGTCAACACTGCCCGATTGGTGCCGTCCGCCCGGAAAACGAAATCGATCTATTGTGGGCGATAAAAGGCGCCGGGACCAACGTTGGCATCGTGATCAGCGTTACGTTCAAGGCTTACGAGGCTCCGACCTACTCGGTTCGAAACTGGGTTGTTCCGCTCGCCGACAGACTCGAGGCACGGCTCAGGCTCAGCAATTTTGACGAGTTCATCGCCAGGAAGCTCCCCGGGAATCGTTCTGCAGACGCGTATCTGTACTGGGACACCGGCCGGCTGCATCTTGGCGTGACTCTGTTCGAATCTTCCACGACAAGGCCTACTATCGAAACCCCGACGCCCACACCCACACCTACGGCCGTGGGTACAAATTTGGGACTAGAAGACAATTTCAAGGCTATGGACGGCGTTGGTGTGTTCGAGGCCGAGATGTACATGTCTGGGATGCACGGAGGGCACGGCGGCGGCAAGACCTCCGCGTTCAAGCGGTGTTTATTCTTGAAACATATCGGAGCGGTTCGCATCGCCGACATCTTGGTGGCCGCCGTTGAAAGCCGTCCATCGCCACTGTGCTATCTCCATCTGCTGCAAGGTGGCGGAGCGGTCGGCGAAGTGGGGGCTGAGGTCACTGCCTTTGGCTGCCGAGAGTGGGAGTTTGCCTGCGTGATTACTGGTGTCTGGCCCCGCGATCAAGATGGAACGGAAGCCGCTCGGGCTGCCGTGTCGTGGGTTTACGACGTCGCCATGGACTTATTGCCCCTGAGTTGCGGAGCTTACGGCGCCGACCTCGGGCCGGACCCTAGAGACGCCGCGCTGGCGGCCAAGGCTTTTGGACCAAACCGGCCGCGCCTAGCCCGTGTGAAACACAAGGCGGACCCGCACAATGTGCTGGCTTACGCCTGCCCACTCCCGAAAGCGCCGACGGAACAGAAGCTCATCGTTCTTGTCACGGGAGAAAGCTGCGCCGGCAAAGACTATTGCGCCGACATCTGGGTCTCCGTGTTCACTACATGTACCCATAAAGGTCTCTCGGCGCGCGCAGTCAGCATTAGCGATGCGATCAAGCGAGAATATGCCGCGGCTACTCATGCCGACATAAATCGCCTGCTTCGGGACCGGGCGTACAAGGAGCAACACCGGCCGGCGTTGGATACATTTTTCCGCGCTCAGGTACGGCAACGACCTCGGCTGCCAGAGGAGCATTTTCTGGATGTGGTACATGCCGCCGTGGATGTCGACGTACTGTTAGTTACGGGGATGAGAGACGAAGCGCCGGTTGCAGCCTTGTCGCATTTGGTGCCAGACAGCAGACTGCTCGAAGTTCGCGTCAATGCTAGCGAAGAGACACGGCGAGTTCGGCGAGGATGCCACGGCGGTGATGTCGATGGCGACGACAACATAAACGGCAACAATGCCTTGGACTACCACCCCAGTCTCATCTTCGACAACGGCACGACCGGAGACGAGTCGGCAAAAAGATTCGCTGAACAGTACCTGATTCCTTTTTTTCACGAGGACTTGCAGCGACTGGCCAACATGGTGCGCTCGATACCCAGCTTTCCACACCCGGGTATCGAGTTCCGCCATGTACTCGGCATCTCTCAGCAGCCGGGTGGGCTGGCCCTGTGCGCGTCTTTGCTACGAACTCATTTCACCGGTGACTGGGCTAAAGTCGATGCGGTGGCGTGTTGCGAGGCCGGCGGCTTTGTCTTTGCATCGGCGTTGGCATCGCGGGTTGATGTACCCTTGGCGCTGATTCGTCGGGCCGGCAAACTCCCCCCACCTACTGTTTCCACCGTCAAGTCCCCATCAAATATCTCATCTTTGGCATCCAACGATCCAAAGAATAGGTACGAGATAGGCCGAGATTTGATTCCCAGAGGCGCGTCGGTGGTGGTGGTGGACGATGTGCTTGCCACCGGGGAGACGCTTTGTGCGGTCCTACGGCTATTAGATGAAGCTGGTATCGGTGCCGAGGACGTCAGCATCATGGTCGTGGCCGAGTTCCCATTTCATCGTGGGCGGGCACTGCTGCGCCAGCGTGGTTTTGGCAGAATCAACATTCAGAGCCTTTTAGTTTTTGCTGGTGCTTAGGAAAGGGTGTACGGCCGCTTCCTCTGGCACTCGACGTTAATGCTTATAGGCGCTAGGAGCACTGTACCCGGCAGTATGCCGACGAATCGAATTTTTTTCGTCGTTTCCGACGCGAGTAAAATCCCGGCCGGCGGCCCGAAATGCGGCACGGTATCGGCGCGACTTTGTAGCCTGGATGCGCCTTGACACGACGTCAATCGCGGGTTGGCTTTACTATGGGGGGCACGATGCACCCGCACCCCACAAAACCCTTTTGTTTACCCTTCACCGTGATAACTTCATCCATGACACTAGCCGCAACACCAACCACTTCTTGTGGGGGCGGTGATAGCGTGGGGTAGGATGGCGCTAGGCGGACGGGGTATAGGGGGGTGCGTTGGGCCGGACCTTGTGGTGTCAGCACCCTCGCTGGTTCTGCTGCAACCGGTCTCACATCGTCTTCGCCACTAGTTTGCCCGTTTAGTACCTTTACGATGCCATTACGTGCGGCAGCTGCCCGCGAAACTGGATGACAACGAACTGCCGTCACCATCACAGTTTGTATGTGCCAGCCGGGAACGCGTTATGGCTGGCAAGCCGAGCTAAATCACCCACACTCGACCGCGGTCTCAGCAGCGTGGCGTCCGGACCCGCTTCCGACGCCGGCGGTGACGACGAGGACGTCTCTGTCCCCGGCTGGAGCACGAGCAGCGTCTCGAGCGACTGGATGGAGCGCCAGGACCGGCAGCGTCGGCAGAAGGCGGCCCGCCCCTCGCCATCGTGCTAGCACCACCACGCCTTACTTCCGCTTCTGTCTCTAGCTGAGTCCGAGACTACACGGCAGACAACTCCTAAGCATCGTGCTTCGTGAGGTTTGCGGACATGGGGTTAACCTTTTGTAGGACACTGAGGGGAAAAGAAAGAGAAAAGGGATTCCAAAAGGGTATTTTTTATTATCATTATTTTAACCATCTGCCCGCTACTCGGGCCGCACATGGACAACACATGGCACCCAAGCTTCAGGTCGCGGATCGGACCATCCAAATCCACGGACAGCCAGCACGACTTGAGAACCAAAATCCCACGATTCCCCATCAAACACACCCACCACACACACACACACACACACACACACACACACTATAGCCACTCGCTCTTGGTCCAGTCCCACAGCTGCTCGGGCGGGCAGCCCAGGCGGCACTCGACCCCCTCGTCGGCGCCGTTGGGCGACGCGCGCCGGATGATGTCGGTGACGGGCTTGCTGCCACGGACGGTGACGAAGCTGAACTGGGCGCGCGCCCCGCCGCCGCCGCGCGTCAACCCGGCACTTCCACACCATGTTCAGGCTGCCGCGCAGCCCGTGCAGGTTGTCCAGCATTCCCTTATGGCATCCGTCGCGCTCGTCGCCCCAGCCCCTGGTCCATACGTTCGCCACCATGTGCCGGTCGCCCACCCACTCCTCCTTGGGCCGCCAGCCCTCGAGGCAGCACCAGGACCCGGACGTGCTGGCGACGGCGGTGGGCCTGTTGTCGCGGCTGCTGCTGCCGTCTTTGGTCTTGGTGACAGCCAGGACAGCGGTCACGATTTCAGCGGGCGCTGTCACCGTCTTCGTGCCGACGAAGAAGCCGAAGCTGCTGTCGGGATCGGGCCACGTGGCCGTGGTGTTGGCCACGACGGTGCGGTACGCCGTCATCGTATCCACCGAGCCGGCCACCGTTCGTGTTATTGTATCCGACGAGCCGGCCACCGTACGTGTAATCGTTGGGCCCGACACCAGTACCGTACTTGTAACGGCCGGGCCCGACACCGGCACCGTCTGCGTGACGCCGGGGCCTGCCACCAGCACCGTCCACGCGGCCGCATCCTGGCCCCCGACCGCGACGACGGGCACGTCGGCCGGCGGGCTGAACAACGGCGTCGCTGCGTCGACGGCGGACAGGACCACGCGGGGCAACAGCGCCGCCTTGGCGTGTACCGCGCTCGGGGCTGCGGCCAGGGTGGCCACCGCGTGCGCGAGGAACCGCATGTTGTCAGGGGCGAGGTGGGGTGGGGGACTGATTTTGATATTTCAACGGAGCAACTGCCTGGGTATATGGGCAGGTATTTTTCGTCCGGCTAAATTCTTGCCATGTCGGATAGGACGCGGCACCCACGCCTCTCCAAGTATAGGTAGGCTGGCACCATTCTTTCGCTAGACGCATCGCGCCACTCTGGGCGTTGATCTTGGAAGAGTTTGTCGACGCCAGCAAAAGGCAAAAGCCAGAGACTTGCGCGGTTTCACGCCCACGGGCTTCGTCTGTTTGAAAGTTTTATCCATTTGACTTTTTGGGCACGGTGGCCCTGAACCAACGTCCATCGTCAGAAACCTCCGGGAGAAACCCTTACATTTTGAGCTGACGCCTAGATGAAACGACAACAGGGCTGCGGGATGAAGACGGCATTCCGGCCAAACGTGCCCCGAATAGAGCCCCCCAGCCTCGGGCTCTGCCTGAACACACCCTTCAGAAGGTGCCAAAACAAAAGAGTGCCGAGTACCGACATTCACTAGACCGGAATCCCCCGCCGACTTGGCGACGGCATACCTGCCATCTACTAAGTAGGTGACGCGTGCAGCACTTATTATGTCATAGAACCAGAGAAGCCTTCCAGCGGAGCCGCCTTTTGTTTGGTCGAGAATCGAGATCAAAAGTCCACACCCCGCAGTTAAGCTTTGCAAACGCGGCAACGCTAAAATCTTGTTTGGCGCGGGAACGGGACCGGACTTTTGCACCCCGAGCCTGGCACGGCCATATCACTTTTATTTTTATTTTCTTCTTCTTTTCATTTCCTCCCCTCGCTTCCCCGTCCAAGTGAGCCATCTGTACTTTCCTGCAGTAAAACCACCCGCAGTCACCAACAGGCCAAGGCCCAGTTGGGAACGGCTAACACCCGACTGGACGTGAGCGACCGCTCCGCCGCTAAGCTTCTCGCGCCCACCTGCGCGGCCTACGCCAGCGGACGCCAACGTTCCACGGAAGGATCAGCTTGGCTCCTCTTCTTGGACGGAGGCCGGCCACGGGGGGGAGACCCAATCAGCCACACGTCCACTGCGGGTGCGATGCACATATGACCTGATGAAAACAATGGGGGGGCACCGCCTGCGTTTCCATGCAGCATGGGGGCATGCTGTAGGTGGACGCCAAGTGGCGGCTCCCGATGTAGCCAGGTGCATGGAGTATTTGCATGTTCACGAGAACCTTTTCCCTATTGGGGTGATTTAGGGCTTCTTTGATCAGGTTTTCTGGACAGCTTGACTGCAGGCTTCCGCGCAGATGGCGAGACTCGACCTGAGGGCAGGGTTGTGCGGCTGGCACGACTGTGGAGGGAAACGCAAGAGGCAGATGTCTCCCTGTTGACCCAGGGCCTGGATCTCTGCCTGTGTAGATGTTGTCAATTTTTGGCAAGGTTCAGCGGTACGCAACGATGCCATGCCCATCCCGCGTGAACCATGAAGCAAGGAGCACCTGTCGGGAAATGGCCGATGTTAAAACGGTAGCTAGACGTGCAGCAAACAACATAATGGTGACGTGTGCTAGACAAAATCGGTGAAACCTCTTGCACACGATCGTCAGTCTCACCAGAAGTAGACACTCGAGCATGCCTTGATCTCCCACAGTTGGATTGTCACCATGACGCGTCTATTCAAACAGTAAAACTCCCAGTCATATGCCGGCCCAATGTCCATCATGCTATGCAAGCCCGAGAACCCCCAACGAACAAAAATCAGGTGACAGGTACACCAACGAGCGCGGCTGGACCCGCTCTGCGGAACACGAGACTACACTCGGCCTCCTGGCGGCTCCTTGGACAATGCGCCTTACCATACAGTCCCTGAGCTCAGAATCCCCTATACCCAAACAAAAGAGTCGCTCTAATCCAAAGCCTCGCCGCTCAAGATGATTCGCAAGATGTCGGAGCCGAGCCCTTCAATGCCCTGCTCTACCTCCTTCTCGCCCACACAGCTGGCCACCTGCCTCTCGTCTCCGCTGCCAAAAGTGGCCTTTCTGCCCTTTTTGCTGGGTGTCTGCAGGACCGCAAACGACCCCGTCTTCCCATCGACCGCTGTGATCAGAGACAGAGTCTCCAAGCTCCCGACAACCTCACGGAACTCGGCGCTAGACAGAGCGTGCAGCAGCGAGTCTCGCTTGCAGAGGATCGAGTATGTGTCGTAGAGGGCCCTGATGGTCGGTGCCGTTACCCGAGCCTTGGAAGGTGTAATCGGGGTTGCGGATGCCACAGTAGCCTTGTTCCTCTTCTCGATGGCCATGAGGGAGCACAATGCAGCCTTCTGCTGGAGGTTCAAGCTCTTGATCCGCTGGTTCGCCCCATTGCCGAACACCGCCGCCGTAATCTTGTTGAGATGGCCAATGCTCACGCGCGGGGCATTCTCAACCGTCAGAGCCCGCAGCGAGGCGGCGAGCTCGCCGGGAACAGTCCTTCTCGAGTCCGTCTTGGACGGAGAAGTCGTGTTACTGGGGCTCTCGCCAAGCGGCTTCTTTGATGGCGTCATCTGTAGGATCTTATCCCTCGCTTCGTCCTCAAGTTTGCGTTTGGTCTCGGCCTCGACAAGGTCAAGCGCCCGCCGCAGAATCTCGTATGCCTTGCGCAAATCTCCAGTCTGGCTCGACACCTTGCGCGAGCACAACTCGATGGCCGCTGGATGGAAGAAGGGCACCATGTCGGGGGTCGCGCTGTTGCTCGGGACCAGACTCTTTAGCCTCTTTGTGATGATGGCCTTGATCTGGGGTGCCGTGTACGGGAGAAACGGGAGGAGCTCAGGCTTCAGGTTCCTCGATTTGAGCCTCGGAAGGAAACGGTCGGTAAGATCCAGAGCATTCGCGATTCCGACCAGCACGAGGCGCGACGACTTCTGCAAAGACCACTCGAAGACCTTGTACAGGCTCTCGAGATCTAACGTGAGAATGTGGTCGATCTCATCCAGAACCACGAGGTACGTCTCCGGGTTCTTCTTCTTCTTTGGAAGGAAAAGAGTTTGCAATGCGGCAGCCGGATCGCTCTCCAAAGCACCCGAGGTCGAGCCAAGGAGGTCCAGGAGAGTGACGTAGAGGTCCGTAGACGACTTGATGCTCATGCAGTTGATATAGGCCTTTCGAACCGACGTCGTCGAGGCCAGCTCGTCCGTCACCGAGTTCACCATCGCGCTCTTGCCGGTACCAGGCGGGCCGCTGACGTAGAGACAACCACCAGGGGCTGCACTCGTGCAGCGAGCGAGGAAGTCCTCGAGCCGTTCCCGTTCGTTGTCTCGCCCAATCAGCTGGCCGGGGTCATTGCTTCGCGAGAAGAGCTGTCGTGCCAGGTGGTAGATGGTTTGGGATGCGGCGGGCGTTGCGGGCGTCCTCGGGGTCAACCTCCTAGAAACCTTGCCAACTGACATGACCCGATGCCGGGGAGTGGTTGGAGTTGTGGAAAGCGCATCGCGGAATCGGGGTGTTTGCGGTGTTAGGGGAATGCCGTCTGTACGGTCGATAACAAGCTGTGGGTGAGTAAGGAGCCTCGGTAAACATGGCCAAACACCAGGTCTACTAACAGTGAGAGCGTGTGCTCTTGGCCGGAGAGATGATGATTTCGGGCTCGTCCCGGTCCTCGGTGGTTGGGTAGAGAGGGTCGATGTTCTCGTCGTTGAGCAACGACGAAATTCGGGTCTTGCCCCGTGTTCTCTTGATGGGAACGAGGCCGGTATCTGGACAGGAACGGGTTAGCAGGCACGCCTTCCTTCGCATCCCAGCTTTGGGGTCAAGCGATTGATGGCTCTTACCCAGGTCCGCCACGGAGCTCCGCGTTCGTTTCCCGAGGGAAGTCGACGCCATTATGATTAGATGAGCGAGTCTCGCAGTGGCCAAGGGAAACGACAACAAGATGGAAGGTATCACGGAACGGATTGGCAAGTACGAAGAAGAAAACAAAAGCAAAGTCCAAAGCAGCAGGCAAGATGCAAAAATGGCAGCGGGCGAGAAGGTGAGAAGGATCGATGAGCAATGTCATAAAATCATTGTGCACAGAATCGACGAAGGCTCTTGACAAAACCGTCTCCATGGAGCGTCGCCTAGAGCAGGGCCATTGTTGCTTGGCAGGTCCACAGCACGCGCCCCGCTGGGATAGCACGAGCTTGTCGCGCGGGGAGAAGGCCTTTCGCGACTTGGGGACGCGAAGAGCGCGTTTCAATTACGCACGACCCGCTGCATTCCACTGACGGCTTGGCACGCGCTCAATTTAAACCCCTGTCGACTGTGTTTTGCACGTGACCACTGTCGTCACATGATCCTCAATCAGCAAAGGCCAGGAACCCCACACCCACTCCCTGCTTAGCTACCTGTATTGCTCCACTCCCTTCCCGAAGCCGACGGTGGCCGAAGCGGGCGGAGGCTTGGGAGAGTTACTGTGCAAACAGTTACTGATTGTGATTGCTTTGTTGCACCACTACTATCGGGCTGCTTCGGTCTCATTCACACGGCCAGCACGTCCTGCCCCCATCAACCACCAACAATGATGCTACCAGCCGGCTGTCCCATCCCCCTTTATTTATATCGCCGTCCCCGCCTGCTGTTCCGTCCTGCTTGACGACTTGGCGGTCCACAGGACACTTCCACCCTCGCCATTGCTCGGTCAGATCCGCGCGAGTATCTAAAAGCTCTGCCAAAATGGCGACAGCGGAGGCACCAGGCGCGCGCTATAACGCTGATGTGGAGCGACTTATTAAGTCAGAATTCCCGATGCTGAGGGGTATGTCGAGGGGCGTGTGTGGCTTTGGTTCGACAGATGGTTGCTGACGTGCTGGAACACCACTTACTGATCTAGACTCTGTCTACCTGGACCACGCTGGCACTACGCTGTACCCCGTGTCTCTACTCAATGACTTCTCCAGGGACTTGACTAGTAATCTCTACGGCAACCCGCACTCGGCTTCGAGCTCCTCCCAACGGTCGACCTCCCGCATCGAGGACGTCCGCCTCCGCGCATTACAGTTTTTAGGGGCGGACCCGGCGCAGTTCGATTTAGTCTTCACAGCCAACGCCACATCCGCAACAAAGCTCGTTGCGGAAGCCTTCAGGGCGTTACCGGGTGGGTTTCGCTATATCTACCATCAGTCGTCCCACACGAGCCTTGTAGGCGTTCGGGAGGAGGCACAGAGCAGCTGCTGCCTTGAAGACTCTGCGGTTGAGCCCCTGCTTTCGAACCCGAGCACAGCTCCGGCCTGTCAGGATGACCAAGCATACTCGACGCTTTTCGCGTACTCAGCGCAGTCTAACTTCGATGGTAGCCGCTCGCCGCTATCTTGGGCAGGCGGGGTGAGAAGGGCACTATCTAGTGGAGGTATGAAAGTGTTCACTCTCTTAGACGCCGCCTCCCTGGTGTCGAGCTCTCAGCTGGATCTTGGGGGTTCCGAAGATGCCCCTGATTTCGTGGTGCTGAGTTTCTACAAGATATTTGGATTCCCAGACCTTGGCGCACTGCTTATTCGAAAACAGGCCCAAGACGTCTTTGACTCGCGGCGATATTTTGGAGGAGGCACAGTCGACATGGTGGTCAGCATCAAGGAACAGTGGCATGCCCCGAAGACACATTTCCTCTACGAGCGGCTCGAGGATGGCACCCTGCCGATTCACAGCATCGTCGCCCTGGACGTCGCCATGACCGTCCATTACCGTCTATACGGGTCCATGAGCGCCGTTGCATCACACACCACATTCCTCGCCCAGAGGCTGCACGCCGGACTAGAATCTCTGAGGCACGAGACAACAGATTCCCCGGTCTGTATCATGTACTCATCGCGCCCCGAGGTGCAGCCTGGCGGCAGCACGGCTAGCAGCGGGCCGATCGTCGCCTTCAACATTCGTAATGCCTCGGGAGCATGGCTCAGCCTCGTCGAGTTTGAGAAGCTCGCTATCCTGCGCAAAATCCACGTCCGCACCGGCGGGGTCTGCAATCCGGGAGGCATTGCGGCGGCACTACAGCTCGAGCCGTGGGAGATGAAGAGAAACCTCTCGTCCGGGTTCCGGTGTGGAACGGACAACGACATAATGTCTGGCAAGCCGACGGGCGTCATCCGGGCCAGCCTCGGCGCCATGAGCACAATATCTGACATAGACACATTTGTCGAATTTGTCGCTGAATTTTTTCAGGATAAAACCACATTGTCCACGCTCCTTGAAATCGCCCGCCCCCGTGCTGTGGCCTCCGCGGAGGGCGGACCCCAGCTTTTTGTTCATAGCTTGGCAATATTCCCCATCAAGAGCTGCGGCGCATATCCAATACCAGCCGGCGTGGCGTGGGAGATTAGGCCAGAGGGTCTTGCCTGGGACAGGGAGTGGTGCTTGTTGCATCAAGGCGCTGGCTACGCTCTCAGCCAGAAGCGATATCCGAAAATGGCTCTCATCAGGCCAGTCGTCGACTTTGACCGTGGCGTGCTGCGCATTCGCTACTGCGGGGAGCTGCCCCAGGGTGTGTCGGGGGAAATCTCGATCCCCCTATCTCATGACCCGTCCATGTTCCGAGACGGCTCCGCCCTCTCCGCGCCGTCGCGCGTGGGCGGCGACAAGGTGACGGCGCAGTACTACACATCCGACGCGGTCAACACCTTCTTCTCGACCGCCCTGGGTGTCCCATGCGTGCTGGCGCGATTTCCGCCTGGCGGCCACGGCAGCGGCGGGAGGCGCTACGCGAAAGCGCGCATCCAGAAGCACCAGGAAGCGTCGCATGGCATGTCGGAGATGGTGTCAAGTGTTGCGGCCGCTGCCTACGACTTGCAGGAGCGCCCTGCTCCGCCCTCGCCGCCGGACTCGGATCCAGATACCAGGCAGCGGCCTATTCTGCTATCAAACGAGAGCCCGATCCTGGCCATCAACCTCGCAAGCGTTCGTGCGCTCAACCACGAGATCGAGGCTCGGGGAGGCGTCGCGGTCTCCTCATCGGCATTCAGGGCCAACGTCGTGCTGGGTGCCGCCACCGCTCCGAGCGACGCTCGCGCTGGTAGCGATCAGCGGGAATACCAGGAGGACGACTGGAAGACCCTGAGGATCGGATCGCAGTCATTCACCATGCTCGGCGCGTGCAGGCGTTGTCAGATGGTGTGCATTGACCAGGAGACAGCCCGCAAGGGGGACGAGCCTTTTGCGACCCTCTCCAAGACCAGGAGGTCCGAGGGCAAGGTTTTCTTTGGCGTGCACATGGCTCTGAATAACATGCCTGGCAGCGATCACGCCATGACGAGGGAGTCACAGCGCCCGACCATAATGGTGGGCGATCGTGTCTATATCAACGGTACGTGAGACTCGGCAGGTGTCGACAAGTACGTACTTAACTAGAGACAACAAGGGCGAATCTATAAATACATCGATCTAGGGAGTTAGCTAGCGCAGACGATAGAGGTAATATAAGGCGTATTTGGCCTTGGCCTAGCATAGACTGGCGAGGCGCGCACGCTGTTTCCACATGTGCATGAGCTCTAGAGCCCGGTGACAATACTAGAGTAAACCCGGAATCTGCGAACGAATGTTATGATGCCCACCTATGCTGTAACGAATGTCTACCTGCCGAATCTTAGCCTCCCTAGTAGCCCAAAGTACCTGACGCCTATTCCTCTACCCAAGACCGTCTTGTCGCGTGAAAAAATAAAAAGTCGTCAACTCGTATGGGGGCGTAAAGCGAGGAAGCCCGTGTAAAATTGTATGTACATTAAAATGCAAGGATCCCGAGGGGAAATGAGAAACGCAAAGCGAGGGTATCTATGGTGAAGCTAAAAATGAAAAGAAGAGGAGTTAAAAGCGAATGTAGGACAAAAGTCCTCAGTAGTCACGATAGAAAAACCCCTGTTTGGGCCGAGGTAGCCCGGAGGATAAGCGCAACGGTGCTACGGGTGGGCTGCGCATCGAGTCGGGGGAAGAGGCCGCGTCAATCCTGTTCTCGGGAGAGGCCGAGAGGGGTGATGGCGTCATGGCGTTGTCGCTTCCAATCTCGGACAGCCTCGAGACGCCTTCGCCATCCATCTCGACGCGGCCGGTATCCCCGAGCTCGACGACGCTGGTCTTGCCGTCCTTCTTGGCCCCGGCCACCACGCCGCCGGCAGAGCTGCTTCCATGGGCGCTCGAGGTCACGGCCGTGGTGCCCGTGAAGCCGGAGCTGGTCCGATGGTGACGTGCCACGAAGCCAGGGGTGAAGCGCGAAGAGATGGGGGCCAGGCTGGGGATCCGGGGTTGGCGCATCGCCGTGGCAGCGGCGGCGCCACCGCTATAGCCTCCATACGTAACTCCGTCGGGTGTAAGGCCGTAGTACGCATCTTCATATTCTGCTTCTCTGCGTCGCCGGCGGGCCCGGCACACCATCACAAGGTAGACAGCAAGAGCAACTAGACCAGCGAACACCGCCGAGCCCACAGCGATACCAATAATAGCCGGGGTCGAGAGTGGAGTCGAGCTGTTTTGCGATATAACGGGGGCAACAGGCGCGGCAGATCCGGTTTGTCCTTGCTGATTGTCGGATGTCGTCGCGGGAGAAAGAGGGGGCAGTACAGGATCCGGAGCTTGCTGGGTTGACGCAGACGTGACCGGGCGCAAGGAAATGAGGGTCGTCGTAGATGTCATGCTGACCGTCGTCTGGGCGTCCAGAACTCTGTTGGCCTTGTCAGCGCGAGTCCCGACTCTGGTCGTAGAAGACCGCTTCAATGGAATCGCAAGAGCTACGAATATATATGTACGCACCTGGTACGCGTCCTAACCACAGTAGAAAGCACCGTAGTAGTGGAGGCAGTGGTAGTAGCAACAACAATAACATTGACGGTTGTATAGACTTCCACATCTGTTATTGTGGTCGTAGAGGTGCTGGCTCCGGCCGCTGCCCTGCTTGGTTCTTGGCGACGGGCCAAGCCTGGTCTCGGGAAGGCTAGCTCCGGGAGGTGAAGTTTCCTGCGCGCGAGGGCCCATAGCCCCTTGGAGCTGACTGGTTCGGGGTCCATTAGGGAAGGAACCGATCTTCTGGCCATGATGGTTGCCGTGACCACTGTGACCTCTGTCTGAGTTGCTGCCAGACTCGAGATGGTCACATCAACTACCGAGTTTACTATCGAAGTCTCGATCACGGCCAGGAATACAGTGTCGACTCTTGTGGCCAGACGAGTAATTGTACTTTGGCGCTTGACGGTCGCAGTCACCCTGTTGTGATTCTCACCAGTTAGCACCCCGTTTGCCAGTACTCATCGCCACTCCGAACTTCCGCAGGCCTCGAGACGTACATTTTGGCAAAACAAAGACCATTGCTACAGGTCTGTCCAGCAGCACAGCACGAGCCACCACAACAAACGCTTCCCGCGGCGCAGCAGAAACGACCCGAGGCTTGGCAGCAGACACCGCATCCCAGGCAGTAGTTGACACTATTGCCAAAGCAGTAGTTGGTTCCGTTCGGGAGGCAGTCTCGCCGCGACAGCACGTTGGCGGCCTCTGGTGTGAACTTGGATAGGGCGGCGACGCCCGGGATGGACTGCTGCAGCACTCCCAACCCGGGCCAGAATTCGGCATCGGGCTGGGTCGTGGAGTTGACGACTGGCACATGACCAAGGACGCACAGAGGCCAGAGCAGGCCAAGCAGGGCCGCTGCCCAGTGGCCTTTGGTAAACTCCATCATCGGGACATCGCCGACAGGGGAACAAGGCGGAGGGTGCTCGCACGAGACGATGTCAGGAAGACACAGAGTAGATTAGGTATCAGGCGGACGTGCGGGTCAGAGCAGAGAGCCCAGAGGGAAGGCAGTTCGCAAGGTGGTTATCAGACAAGGAGGATGGACGGACAAGTCGAGTCAGTGGGCAAGGAAGGCTGGGGTGTGGGTAGGGTTATTGGGCGCTTATAATCGACCTCAGCCGATCCAAAAGCTGGGAGGAGCAGGTCCGCACAGAAGCGGAAGGGTGCAGGAGACAAGAGATGGGGGTTACCAGCAGACTGGGTAGCCAACAATACATGGATCTACCAGCAGCGGAGTGGTGGCAGGGCTGAGCCTGGCAGTTGGTCGAATCACAGCGCCCAACAGACGAAGGCGGGGGCAGACATGGAAGGGTCTGGACGGAGGCGACAAGTCACCATGAAACAAAAGCCCCGCGGAAGCGACTCCGAGGGCGGGTGGGCGAGGGATACGCGAGGGAGGAGCAGCGCGAGGTCACCAGGCTTAGGAGATAACGTCAACCGCGAGCCTGAAACAAAAATGCCCTTTGCACATGTGTATCCCGCACCCTTCCCCAATCCCGCGTTACCCAAACAGGCCGAGAGGCAGAGGGATCGGAAGAGGAGGGTGATGTCGAATGGGAGGGAGGGATTGCGTACGCATGCAAAGCAAGGACCAGAAATGCAGCAAAGCTAAGGCTGCGAGGGCCCAGCTGCAGGTCTTCGGCGGCCAGGTGCCATGGCGGCTTTGTTTTTTTCTCTCCTTTGGGGCATTCCCAACCGCTCTGAGGAGGCAGACGCCAGGCGGCAGCGGGCGCACCTGATTTGGCAAAGATGGTCCGGGGGCGGTCCTGGACTAGCCGGAGCGACGCAGGCTCTGCATGAGCTGATGACGGCCGCATCCACTTGGGGCTGGGCTCAGCATCATCAGCCCGGAGGACCGTAGTCTGATCCAGTGCGCCAGCGCCGGGTGGCACAATGCTGCGGTTCCTGACGCACACCGCTGATGCACGGCGTCAAGACTCTCCACCGCCGGTGACGGAGTCGTCGAGGCCAAGCGGCGTCGAGACCAAGCTTTGGAGCTCGGGCTAGGCGGGGAGTTGGGTTTCACTTGTATGCCGTCCCGATCTGCTGACGCTTGTCCAAAAGCTTGCCGTCTTATCCGCATCATCCAAAACGCTGCCGTCAGCACTTGCTGAGCAGCAGAGCTGTTGTGTGGTGGACGGATTTGAACCGGCTGGCATGTGTGTTGAACGGTAAAGAGCAAAGGGCACGGACGAGTCGGCCAAATGTGCTGTCAGGGGGAGCAAGGCTGGCCTGACTCCTGGCCATGCTGGCATGCCATGAGTTACAGATCTCTCCCGGCACTAACAGAAGAGAGCTACCAGGTAGGTAGGTAGGTAGGTACTGCCCAGGTATAAGCTCGATTCCACATGGGTTAGTTAGGTGGTGGCAGGTGGCTGTTGTGTTACCTCGCTCGGTCGGTCGGGAATCCTTCTCGTCGACGATATGCATAGTACCTTGGCGGACCCAATAGGCGCTTGGTGTAAGGAAGAACGATGCTGCTCGGACGGTCCCATGAATGGCCGATTTTAATCACCTCGATAGCACTGATTTTGCGTAGTGGCCTGAAGAAGCTAGGTGCCCGTTTTCAATATCGGGTCCCCCAGCTGGGAGATGCGCTGATTGTTGGTTCCATTTTGGTTCCAGAAATGGACAGACAGCAGGCATGAGCTACGCTGCAAGGCTTAGTCAACACCCGTCAACCATCAATCCCAGTGCCCCAGCTCGGGAGCTCTGCACCAGCTGCGGGCACCCGCAAAAGAACCCCTCCTCTGCGAGTACCTATGGTACCTCCTTGTCCTTGATACAGGCACGTCTGCGGCACAAGCAGCACAGCACGTCAACACGCGGCTGCGGACACCAGAGGCTGTCACCACGTGTGTGTATGCGGGCATAGTGAAGACATTAGACCTGACCGCCTGTCCACACATGCAACAACGGCAGTGAGCGTAAATGCACACGACAGCCTCGCCCGAGCGCTCTCCACCATCCCCCCGGCTCCCATGGATATCGACGACATCCTCCGCGAGGTCGATCCGACTTTCGACACGGTCCCCCGGGAGAGGCGCGACCTCCAGCTGCTCACTCGCGCCTGGGTCGCCGAGAGGTCTGCTCCAGAACTTCTCGAGTGCGTCTGTTTCCTGCGCCTGCCCCCATTCCCCCCCATGTGCGTGTATCTGTGTGTGCTAGTTGGCTGAGCAGAGCATCGTGGAATCGCCATGCACGGGTTCGCGCAGATGGCCAGCCGATAGCCTCTTCGAGCGCATCAACGAGCGCATCAAAGAGCAGATAGAAACGGTCGAAGAGATGACGGGCAATATGGACCCCAAAACAAACTTTGCACTCATCGTCATCCAAACCGAGTTGGAGAGGTACAAGTTTCTCGTTCGAAGTTATCTTCGTGCAAGAATGGCCAAGGTAGTCTCTACTGGACCTACACCGTCTCACGCAGCCCTTCACAGCCAGCGTCGTTGACAATGCCTTCTACCATCTGTTCCCAGATCGACAAGCATACACTCCACTACCTATCGACGCCGGCCCTGCGAGCCCGTCTATCCGAGTCCGAATTGGCGTACGCCACCCGTCACCAGGCCCTACTGCACAACCACTACCTTTCCTCTTTCCTGGCTTCCTTCCCGCCCGCGCTCCAAAACCTAAACGACACGGCCGGCAACATCAGTATGATCGACACTCCAGACCTAGACTCGGCCGTCTTCATCCGCCTTCTGCGAGGCTGCTTTGTCGAGGGCAAAGGTACCGACTCCGATGGCGCTATGGAGGGCAAAGATGGCGACATTCTGATATTGAGATGGACCAATGCCAAGTCCTTGATCGAGACTGGTGATGCTGAGCTGGTATGACATACCCTCCGGCCGTCTACCTTGACCGACACTATGCAATGCCGACAGGCTACCGACTGCGGCTCTCCTCGCCACCATCCCGGAGTCCGCCCGTCCAGAGCTCGCGCGCCGAGCCGAATATCAGGCGTACTTTCCTAGCTCGATACCCTTTCAATGCCGGCTTACACATCACTGAGGCCCCCCGCTGGCACTGTAGCTGGCATCGAGACCAGCGATGAGGCCTGGTGTGTGTTTGTGACATGTTGTTGATATTGGGCAGCACGAGCTGCCACAAGTCAACTGAGCTGCCTGGATTGCTACGACTGGCTGGGTCACAAAAAAATGTCGGGCCAGCCAAGCCTTGTTGGGAACGAGACTTCATCGGTCCCGTGTGGCTCGAAACCTCATGCCAGCCGAGCGGGCTGGAGTCTTTTCTTTTTTCCTGTCACAACCCTCCACGACGAAGTTCATTGGGTTAGCCTAGCGGCCACCGGCTGAGAAAAGACCGCCGAGCTAGAGGTGCAGAACGCCGTGATAGGTTGGACAGGGTGGAACCTCGTAGAAGCTGGGCCGTTTGGTGTGGCATCACAAGACATGCAGCAGACACGACGGGCGTTGGGCACAGCCTTCAGCTACCATGACTGGACTTCGCCAGGGAAACAGAAAGAAAAACACGACGCTAAAACCTACAAAGCACGGGTCCATGGAATGTCGCACGCGAGGAACGAAGGAAGAATACGACAAACAGACAAACAGGCACACGGGGCAATGCAGTGCTGGGAACGCAGATCGTGTCGAGGCACCTCGGTTTGCAAGATGCGCGGTTGCATGTGTGGTCAGGTTGGCGAGTCCACTTGCTCGCCACTCGTGAAATCTCAACACCAAGGCAAAGGTGCAGGGGTGGTGCGAAGGGAATACGCGATTTCGGGATGCCACCTGGCCATGCATGTTCCAAGCGCCACCACAAGCACAGCAGGGAGCTGCCATCCAGTCAACCCGCGGCCTTCAAACTGCGGCCGCCGGCCTGGCGCTGGGCCACTGCTGCTAGTAGTGCTAGTGTGCTAGTAGTGTCAGTGTGCCAGTAGTGCCGCCCGTCGGTTTACGGTTCTGACGTCGGTCGCCAGGGAAAGCCGCCCTGGTCTGTTAAATGGGAGGGGGGACCCAAACAAGTCTAGTTATTGCAGCCGTTCTAAGAAAGAAAAGAGAAGGGAAAAAAAAAAACCAAAAAAGAAGGGGTGCATCCATCGGCCGATGGACAGGCGCTACAGGGAGCCGGGCTGGGCGCATCAACGACGCGCAAACACGAGCTCCCGTTGATGGTGTGGAGTCCATCTCCCCCGCGCAAGCCCTATTGGCTGATCACACCCCCTGAGTAATGGATAGGCGTGCCAAACCGCCGCAATTTTAAAAGATGCCGGGGTGTTGTTTCTTTAGGAGAGAGGCGAGATCAGGTGTTTATGGACAATGTGCAGGACTTAGGCGTTTCCCAGCGAACTCCTTAGACGCCGTCCTTTCAGGGGATCCGAGATGTAGAGCAAGAAGCGACCAACTGGAGGCAAAGAAACAAAACAAGATACCCTTAAGAATCCAGTTACAATGGAGCTTGAGGTCCTACTGCCCGAGAGCGGGGAGGATGGACGTATGAAAGAGGGAGAAACCACCAGCACATACGTAAACAAAAACAAAGGCGGAATAGGGATGCAGACTCCCTTACCAGAGCATTCTCTCGGTCCCCTCCCCCATCTCTTTCGGGCCCACCCCAAGTCCCGGCCCCATCATCACGCTAGGTTGCTTCCTTGAAATCCTTGGTTCGGCCCATGTCGGCGCCAGGCAGGGGGGCGGCCGCTTTGTCCCCGGGGCGTTTAATATTTCAGTCGAGGCGAGCCGCCTTCCCAACTTCCGTGGTTGTCCCTCTTTCCCCCATCTCCCTTCCACAAGAGAACATTGGCCTTCGACATTATTAGCGGTGTTCACTCACTCATACACTCGCTCAGCAAACCTCATTCGAGCCGCACCACATTCGCTACACCACAATCTCAGTCTTAGTTGACCTGAGAACCTTGCCACTACGTCAAATCGACAACCACCCTAATACCATAATCAAGATGCGTTTCTCTACCATTCTGGTTGGCGCCTTCGCCGCCATCGTCGCCGCTCAGTCCTCAGGCGCCGGCAGCGCCACCGTCGCTCCTCCGGCCTCGTCCGTGAGCCTGGATTCCGCCACGGCTACCTATGTGGCCTGCCTGAAGGGGTGCCGTGACGACGACGTCAACTGCAGGGCCAAGTGCGGTGGTGTAAGTTCTGCCTGAACACTTCCCCAACCTCGACCCGACCTGGCTTCGCGCGTATGATCTAAACAACGATGCTAACTCGGCCACAATCCATCAGGTTCCCTTCCCCAGCGACAGCCAGGCCAACGCCACCAACATCTGCGCAGCTGCTTGCCCCAAGGGCACGGGCACCGAGCCCGAGGTTCTTCAGTGGAACAAGTGCGTCTCCAACTGCGTCGAGAAGAACTTCTGGGCCTCGTCCGGCGGTACTCCCTCGCCCACCGGTGCTGCCGGCGGTTCGGGCTCCGGCTCGTCTGGCTCCGGCTCCGGCTCCAGCACTACTGGTGGCTCGGGTGGCAACGCCGCCAAGACCTCTGGCACTACCAGCGGCTCTGGCTCTGCTCAGACCAACGCTCCGAACCCTGCCAACGCTCTCCGCGTCGGCACCTCGGCTGTTGGTCTGGTCGGCTTCATGGCTGCCTACCTGGTCCTGTAAATGACCACAAATTATCACACCGTGGAGGATGCTCGCGGTCGAGCAGCGGACACTGTACCATTGGAAGAAGATACTCTCGATGTGGGCCGGTTAAAGAAGCCAGCATCGCGCGCGCACGGTCAAAACCAGTCTCACCTTTTTGTCTATTGACGATGGTTGGATCTTAATGAGAACGATGGGTTGGTTGGCAGAAACTGCTCCAAAAGCCTACATGACGAGTGATTTTGGGTTGGTCAAGTCGTATGTGCGTGATGCAACCCAGTTCTGCCAGCGCACAGTAATTTAGGAGGACCTGGCTGTATTGACGGGGGTGATGTCTGTAATCCATGGGAGGCCAAGCCTCTTCATCTCGACCGCCAGTTGGAACAAGTAGTCGAGGCTTTGAAGGTTGAGGATGATGTGTCAGCGGGGAAAAGCCCAGCCAGCTCAGATTCTTGATTCTTGTTGCCCGTCTGGGTTGTGTCCCTGGAATGGTCTGGGATACATACCTTTCACACTGGGTCTTGGCCTTGTGCACAGTCTCCCCCCAGATATAGACGCCGTGGCGGCGCACCAGCACAGCGTACGTATCAGGATAGCGATCCATGGCCTCCTCGAGAAACTCGGTCAGGTCCTCCTCGTGGGCCGTGTTCTCGATGACGGGGATGCGCAGGGTGTCATGGTAGCCGAGGTTACCAGTTTTGTCGAACCCGCGGCCGAAGCCCTTGATCTGCTCGATGTTGTTGATGCTGAACTCTCGGTGTGAGGTGCCGTCGGCCCCGCTGGTGGCCTCGAGGATCAGAGTGACGAGCACGGCCCACTGGCTATGCGTGTGGATGCAGCAGCCGGCGCGCCGCTTGGTGAAGGCGGCGAGGAACAGCGGTGTGCACTGCGACGGCTTCAGCGCTGGCGGGCTCCGTAGGTAGACGCGATCTCGGAGACTCGCCGACTGCGCGGCGAGGGAGAGTACGTAGATGTCCGAAGCTTTCATCAGCTCCTTCTGCACGCCCGATGGCGCAATATAGACAAGGTCACTGGCAGTGGAGCGAGGTATGTCATTATGCCGTTTTCTTCCAGCAGCGGCCGTTGAGGTCCCATGAGGATATATGCATGGGTATAGTCCCAGTTCAGGAAAGGATAATGGGAGCGGGTAGTTCTGTTACTCTTCACGGATCGAGCAACCACCTCCAGTGCCGGTAACCCATCCCAGGGTCCAAAACTTGGCGCACAGCGAGGGGATTAGGTTTGCCGGGTGGGATGCGTTTTCTGAGAGCACAAGATGATCATTGCTGCCGCCAGTCTTGGCGCTGGCGCCCTCGTCGGCCATGGCTTTGGCTGTTGTAGGCGGTCCTCGTAACGCGGCTTCAACAACGCGCAGCCGAGCAAGGCGGCAGAAACGAACCGAATCGAGGGTCTTCTCTAGCGGGAGATATCGTGTTACGAAATAGTGGATTTGATTGTCGTGATATGCGGCTAAATTCGAGCGCAGAGATGGAAGCCAGTTCCGTTACGCATTCGAAGAATGGAGGGCTCCGAGCTGGGCTGCGACAGCTTTTGCATGTGGAGGCTGGCCTCTCATACGTAATTCCCTCTGATGCGACTCAGGGCGTAATGCTGTAGCTCGTGCAAACACTTGGCACTCAATTGGCGAGGGCACATACAAAGATGCGCGTAATTACCCTGGGGAAATAGCACGCCATTTTGATTTCAACGGAACACGGTTTGTTAGACCCTGCACAATTGCCGACTAGATAAGCCATCTGGCTGCCCGGTAGATTGCGACAAACCAACGTGCGCGCATCGAGGCGGGCCAGCCCAGCGGGTTCAAGTGATCTATGCTCTAGCGCTCAGCGGCTCCTCCAGTCTGGCGAGGCTGGGCAGCGACGCAAGTGCACATCAGTGGTCCCCTCGTCCCGTTGACCGAGGCCGTGCCTGATAAGGAAGCTCGAGGACGTGACGACCAGCCACCCGACCTTGCCTCTGAGGGGCCGCCCTACTCCAGCGCGCAGGGGTATGGAGTTGCACGTGGGTCCTTCCCCTCTTCGTGCACGGAATAACCTCACAGGTCTCGCTGAGGCCGGCCAGATTTCTAGAAGACTCTGCGGGCCTCTCCTCGGGGCAGCAGTCAATGCAACATGGAGCCGGCCGCGCGCTGAAACCCGCGGCTTAATGCCTTGCGGGCTGCTATGGCTGGGCTAGCGCTCTGAACCCTGACTAGAGCGAGCTACTCGATAGTTGGTCTCGATTGGTTTCGGGGCGTCCTGGCTCGGCTCAATAGTCGTGTCTGGTAACGGCACTGGGAAGTACCTCTTATGTGCACACTGTATGCCACAGATAGGCGGTACATACGGTCCGCTGGACGGTCGTCACAATACCTCAATATGGCAGGTAGAATGGCCCAGTATAGTGTGCACACCGTGCCAGAACTTCCGCGCAGTAAGATGGGGCGATAGCAACAGCAGCAGTGAGTGATCGCGATCCACGTTTCCCCCAGCCGTCACTCTCCCGGCGAGACAGATGCACCAGCACATCAGGCCTGAGATCCATGGAGAGGGAAAGCTCCATCCATGCTACAAAGTGCCACCCCCAGCCCCGCTCGCCGCGCCTCCAGGACGGTGCATTTCAGTTTGCTGGCCCCACTCTACTCGCTAGCTTCCCTAGCTCCTCGGAACCATACCCCAGCCTGTGTGGTGAATTGACCACCTAAATTTTGCCGTGTTGCTTGCTCGGAGGTACAGGAAAAAGGACACGTTGAAGCAGCCAGCCTGCTTGCCCACGTTGCCGCAGCTTAAAGTATCCCAACACCGCCCTGAACATCTCTCCGGGTTTCGCGTCCTTCTTTCCTTGTCCGTGTGTGTGTGTGTGTGTGCGTGCCTGGAGCCCCTCGAACTTTTCTTGCCACTGTCCCCAGAACGGCTTCTGTTGCCGTCGTTCGTTGTCGTCTTTGATACCCCTCTGCTCTCCCACCCGCCCGTCAGTCGCCGTCCGCAACCATGAAGTACAGGTTTATGACGGCCGCGCTGTCCGCGGCCACCCTATTCCTGGGTGGTGCGAACGCCCACGGCGACCATGGCCACCACGCCGAGGATGCCCAGAAGGTCGTCAAGGACGAGGCAGCCACCCCCTCTCCATCATCCAGCCCTCTGCCTGAGATCCCGGCTTTCAAAGTGAGTCTAGCCTACAGGTGTTGAGACTTGGAAGCTCTCCGACCACAGAGCGAGCATCTGCCGTGTGTCTTGTGCTCGCTCGCACCTCTCCCCATGATGGCTTTCTCGATCTCGGCGCCTCAAACCCCAAGTCCGGTGCATGCTAACGTGGCTACTTTCGATTCTTCCAGCCGACCAAGCTCAAGGCCCCGTTCCTGGAGCAGTTCACCGACGATTGGGAGTCGCGATGGAAGCCTTCGCACGCCAAAAAGAACATGAAGGGTTCGGGCAAGGACGAGGAGGAATGGGCTTACATTGGCGAGTGGGCTGTCGAGGAGCCCAGCGTCTACAAGGGAATCAACGGTGACAAGGGTCTCGTTCTGAAGAACCCTGCTGCCCACCACGCCATCTCGGCCAAGTTCCCCACAAAGATCGACAACAAGGGCAAGGCCCTGGTTGTGCAGTACGAGGTGAAGCTGCAGAGTAAGTTTCTCGCCCCTTAGCCACGTACTGGCTCTTCGGTGCTCGCTACTGCCAGTTACTAACACTTGGTTCTCCTTCTGTTAGAGGGTCTGGAGTGCGGCGGTGCCTACCTGAAGTTGCTCAGGGACAACAAGGCCCTGCATCAAGAGGAGTTCAGCAACACCACTCCTTACGTCATCATGTTCGGTCCCGACAAGTGCGGCCACACAAACAAGGTGCACTTCATCTTTAACCACAAGAACCCTAAGACGGGCGAGTACGAGGAGAAGCACCTGAACACTCCCCCAACGGCGCGCATCGTCAAGACGACGGAGCTTTACACGCTCATCGTCCACCCCAACAACACCTTTGTCATCCAGCAGAACGGCAAGCATGTCAAGGAGGGCAACCTTTTGGAGGACTTCAGCCCCTCGGTCAACCCCGAGGCAGAGATTGACGACCCCAAGGACAGCAAGCCCGACGACTGGGTTGACGAGGCCCGCATTCCTGACCCGGATGCCAAGAAGCCCGAGGACTGGGACGAGGATGCCTCGTACGAGATTGTTGATGAGGAGGCTACCCAGCCCGAGGACTGGCTTGTGGACGAGCCCCTCAGCGTTCCCGACCCGGAGGCCAAGAAGCCCGAGGACTGGGACGATGAGGAGGATGGTGACTGGATCGCCCCCACGGTGCCCAACCCCAAGTGCGCTGACGCCTCGGGCTGTGGCCCGTGGACCAAGCCCATGATCAAGAACCCCGCCTACAAGGGCAAATGGACGGCTCCCTACATCGACAACCCTGCCTACAAGGGTGTTTGGGCTCCCCGCAAGATCAAGAACCCCGACTTCTTCGAGGACAAGACGCCTGCCAACTTTGAGCCCATGGGAGCTATCGGCTACGAGATCTGGACCATGCAGAGCGACATCCTGTTCGACAACATCTACATTGGCCACTCGGTTGAGGATGCCCGCAAGTTCGCCGACGAGACCTTCTTCGTCAAGCATCCCAATGAGGAGCTCCTCGAGCTTGCTGAGAAGCCCAAGGACGACAACAAGCCCAAGACTGACTTGGGCAAGACGCTCACTGAGGACCCTGTTGCGTTCGCCAAGGAGAAGCTGGAAATGTTCATGACCCTCTCCCAGGACAGCATCCCCAACGCCATCCGCTTCGTTCCCGAGGTCCCCATCGCCGCCGGAGCTATTCTTGTCACTCTTCTTGCCGGCGTTGCCGCTCTCCTGAACCTGGGTGGCTCCCCCGCCCCGGCTGCCAAGAAGGTTGCCAGTGATGCGAAGGCCAAGGCGAAGGATGTCAAGGCGAAGGCTGAGGCTACTGGTGCTGATGTCAAGGAGAACGTTACCAAGCGTGCTGGTAAGGGGCAGCAGTAGTAGATATCGAGTGTTAAAAATGGGACAGTCTCGCTGGAGGCGTGACGGGTAACATAATGAGTTATTCAACGAGGGAAAAAAACCAATTCCCACAAGGACCCAACGGACATGGCGGAGATTCGGATAAAATTTTCTTTTCTGTTATTTCTACGATTTCAATATTTCGGCGTCCCCTATAGGGACAAACATGTGATTTGGTGTTTAAGCGGGTTTCTTTTCTGTGCTGTTGTTTTAGATGCGGACTGGACGTTTCTCTTTCTTTGTGACAAAATAACACCTAAAGGTTAGCAGCACGGGGCCATGCATGCTTTTCATCGTGCACCATCTTCGTTTCCCCAACCCGCCTCGGTTCTCCAGGAGCTAGCTACCCCACATTCTACCGGCGCTTGACTGTTTCTAGTAAGCCCAGCCGATACCCACGCTTTCTGTTTCGATGAGAGGTCCGTTCGGTAGCTCGGCTTAGCGCGGTTCAAGAAGTGCGGAGAGTGGAGATGAGGGGGAGCTGGGAATGCCCCGATGATCGGATCGGAGGAGCAGCAAATATCAATGGAGGCGACATACCCAAGCCATCCTGGATGGAGTGAGCACCATGTTTTCCGTCGGCAATTTGCTGTCGTCGATGTTGCCTCTTTCTCTGCTAGATTACAACCCAACCTAGGTACATACTCCTGGATCAACAACCCAGGCTCGTGGCTTTATTTCGGAACCTCTTCCCTTGGTCTAGTGCCGCCGCCTGCAGTGCCTGGTCGGGTTTAATAAAGCCGGCCAATAGACGCCAACGTCTCTGATCCAGCCGAACTCTGCCGACCGCTATTTGGGCCGGCTCGTACTCTCGCCACCATCCCCTAGTTTGCTCCCTTCCTCCTCTCCTTATTCTCCTTCTCTTTCTATAGCTCGGCCGCAGCATCCTATCCGACATGCGTCGAGCGATATCGCGGAGCCTGTCCGCCAACACCTCCCGCGCACAGTCGGCAACAGCAGCAACAGCAGCACCCCTCTCGCTCCTCGCCCTCTCCCGAGCCGGGCGGCCGGCCCCAGCAGTAGCGATGGCGTCACCACGGTCCAGTACGGCGGCGAGGAGGCTGCACGCGACGGCGCGGCACCTCGCCCCGGCGTCGGCGGCCATGGTCTCGACGGCCACGAGCTACCCGACCACGCACGACAAGATCGCTAACGTGACCGACACGCCCTACTTTATCGATAACAAGTTCGTTGCCTCGGAGGCCACCAACTTGATCGACCTGCACGACCCGGCGACCAACAACCTGGTGACGCGGGTGCCGCAGATGACCGACGCCGAGCTCAAGGCCGCCGTCGCGTCGGCCGAGCGCGCCTTCCCGACCTGGCGCGCCACGTCGGTCCTGGCGCGCCAGCAGATTATGTTCAAGTTCGTCGGCCTGATCCGCGAGAACTGGGACCGGCTCGCGGCCAGCATCACGCTCGAGCAGGGCAAGACGTTCGCCGACGCCAAGGGTGACGTGCTCCGCGGGCTGCAGGTGGCCGAGGCGGCCTGCGGCGCCCCGGAGCTGCTAAAGGGCGAGGTGCTCGAGGTGGCCAGGGACATGGAGACGCGCACGTACCGCGAGCCCCTGGGAGTCGTGGCCGCCATCTGCCCCTTCAACTTCCCCGCCATGATCCCGCTCTGGTGCATCCCCATCGCCACCATCACGGGCAACACGCTCATCCTCAAGCCGTCCGAGCGCGACCCGGGCGCGGCCATGATCCTGGCCGAGCTGTGCCAAAAGGCCGGTTTCCCCGACGGTGTCGTCAACGTGGTGCACGGCGCCCACCGCACCGTCGACTTCATCCTCGACGAGCCCGCCATCAAGGCCGTCTCGTTCGTCGGCGGCAACAAGGCCGGCGAGTACATCTACTCGCGCGGCAGCGCCAACGGCAAGCGCGTGCAGGCCAACCTCGGCGCCAAGAACCACGCCGCCGTGCTGCCCGACTGCAACAAGAACCAGTTCCTCAACGCCGTCACGGGCGCCGCCTTTGGCGCCGCCGGCCAGCGCTGCATGGCCCTCAGCACCCTCGTCATGGTGGGCGAGACCAAGGAGTGGCTACCGGAACTGGCCGAGCTGGCAAAGGGCCTGAGCGTCAACGGCGGCTTCGAGCCCGGCGCCGACCTGGGCCCCGTCATCACGCCGCAGAGCAAGGCCCGCATCGAGTCGCTGATCGCGAGCGCCGAGGAGGAAGGCGCCACCATCCTGCTGGACGGGCGCGGTTACAAGCCCGCCAAGTACCCGGACGGCAATTGGGTCGGCCCCACCATCATCACGGGCGTGACGCCGGAGATGAGGTGCTACCGCGAGGAGGTCTTCGGCCCCGTGCTCGTGTGCCTCGAGGCCGGCTCGCTCGACGAGGCGGTCGAGCTCATCAACGCGAACGAGTACGGCAACGGCGTCGCCATCTTCACCCGCTCCGGCCCCACGGCCGAGTCGTTCCGCCGCGACATCCAGGCCGGCCAGGTCGGCATCAACGTGCCCATCCCCGTGCCCCTGCCCATGTTCTCCTTCACGGGCAACAAGCGCAGCGTCGCCGGCGGCGGCGCCAGCACCTTTTACGGCAAGCCCGGCATCAACTTCTACACCCAGCTCAAGACCGTCACGGCCCTGTGGCAGTCGGCCGATGCCATCGCCAAGAAGGCCGACGTGGCCATGCCGACGCAGAGCTGAGTTTTGGTTGGTGCAGTCAAAGAAACAAACGTGCCGAATAACTGGGCTGCGGGGACTTGTCCTTTTTGCTTGTTGGAGACGCTGGTGGGTGTACACCCAATGTGCCTTTGGGGCACCCGCCCTGACCAAAAAAGTCTGGACCGCAAATTTTTTCCCCACCACCACAAAAAAAAGGAGCTCATTCAATCTGCAATTATTTTACCCCCTGCATTTATAAAAAGCGAAAAACGTTATTGTGGCTATAAGTAATGCTTTTTGCATTAAAATAATTACAAATTCCTTAAACGCGTGTTTTTTTAGGTGTAGAATGCGGCGCGGGCATGTTGTTTGGCTTTGGTGCTGGTGCAATTGTG